TATATATATATATATTCTTTTTTTCTTCTTCTTCTTCGTACAAACAGGCAGTAACTCTATGCTGCGGTGTAGAGTTACTCCTGGCAATTCTTGTTTCAGTATTGGTACTTGTTCTATTATATTTCAATGTTCCTTTTTAACACAGTATTCTGTTTATGTCTGTAGAGACATGATAACGAATCACTCCTTCCTTGGGCCAGTGTATAATAATAGTGACATGATAAATACTGTAGTCAGTCCCTTCGGAGCAGTCCATCCTTAGACCCTGGTGTAATAATGTCACTGAAACAACAATAGCTTAACCCTTCCTTGCACCAGAATACATTGCCAAATTACATTACCATATGAAAATCTAATCTTTTTATAAAGTCAGATAAATATGAAATATTGCATATGCCTATTATGTATTTTTTACATGTAACCATCACCTGGAGCTTTTGGCTCCTTTTCACCTTCCCTCTTGGGTTGTAAAAAGCATATTGCTTACAAAGCTCAATAGCTCAAGCTGAAAATTATACATACAACAGGATGCTTTCCTATTGAGAAAGCCATATACAATGTTTTAGTCTTCATCAGAGATGTTCTGAAAGCAACTGGCTTTTACTCACTCTTTAGAAAACGCGTAGAAGGGAAATGATCAAAACTGGAGCAGACAGAATCTGGAGCAGTTGTCTATGGCAACCAATCAGCTTCTCTCTTCAGTTTGTTCAGTTAAGCTTTGAAAATGATAGATAGAAGCATAGGCAACACTTCCAGAATCTGTCTGCTTATGTTTTGATCAATTTTCCTCCCAGTGCTTTGTGAATCCAGTGCCAGGAGTGCAGTCTTTACTAAATGACTAAATTACTAAATGACCATTTGCAAAAATAAAAGAGTAATAACATATATAAAACATTGATGATTTAAACATGTATACACTTAAAATACAAATGGCACCGCTGTAGTTGAAACCATTACAATTGTCTTAAAACTGCATGGAGTATGGGGTATGTGATATAGATATGGAACATAAACTTTATTTTGCCATAGGTACCCATGTCCACTCAACATCTATCATAGGTAGTGATGAGACTGGGCTTGGTGCAAACACGATTTGCGTAAGTTCGCCCAAGCCCACTCAAAACTCTGACTGCCACCCCCTCCTGCCAACCCAATCAGTTACAGGGAGGTGCATATTCGTCCGCGGCTATACGTCACAAAGGGGCGGTGCCAAGGGGGTGGTGGTCAGAGTTGAGCAGGCTTGGGTGAACTCAAGTAAACTGTTCTTACACCAAACCCAGCTTCATCTTAATCATAGGACTTCTTGCTACGTCATGCTTGGCCCACTGGATTAGTAAAAGTGGATGGATTAAGCTCCAAACATGCTTCAAACCTCATATTCTTATGATGGTTATAATCCTATAGCCAAAGCCCTTGGTTGTATTGTCTCTTTTGAGGATCAGAGTTCAGATTGGCTGACTCTCCCTTTTAATAGCGATCATGTGCCAAAACAGTGCCAGATCATATGACCTTTAGATCCTCGACCTTGCTGCTCTTATCAAGAGTGGAGGAGCCCCAAAATACCCCTTTGCTGCATTAGGTCATGTTACCATTTCTCCGACATATCTGGATCTCCACCACAGCCCATGGTGGGTTCTGTACAAGGCAGACGCATGGATTGGCTGCTCAGGCAGAGAAGCAGCAGTGAAATTGTTAACTTTAGGGCTGCTATACACACGGTGGATAATTAGACTTGGCACTCCAGTTGTGGTGAAACTACAGATCCTATGAAGCATTGCAAGACTTTAACAGCTACAGACATAATTCTGAGAGGCAGAGGCATGACGGGATTTGTAGTTGCACCACAGCTGGAGCGCCATGGTTGCCTACCCCTCTTTTAGTCCAATGAGAAAAAAAAATCTGCATAAGGTCTTCTTACATAGTTACATAGTATTTGAGGTTGAATAAAGACATAAGTCCATCAAGTCCAAACTATTGCTGATGTGTGCGTATGTATAGGTCCATATACGCTGAGTGGCCAGATTATTATGACCACCCCATCAGTACTTCTTTGAGCCACGAGATGACTTTCTTGGGCCGCCTCGTGACTCCACAAGATGTTGAAAGGTGATGCGAGGAATCTGACACGGCACTGTTGCCCTTCTGTTGTCTTGTACCAGTCTTGCCATTCTCCGTTCTGCCCTAACATTGACTAGTCGCTGACGGCCACAATTCGCACGTTCAGACCCAGATTTTCGGCTGACAGTCCAGTCTTTAAACACTTTAACAGCATCTGCTCTTGAACATTTAACAAATTCTGCTGTTTTGCTGATACTTGCTCCATGGCTCCGAGCGCCAACAATCATCCCACGTTCAAAGGCTGTTAAATCGCGTTGCTTACCCATATCTTCAGAAAAAAAATCACTTCTACTGTCGTGGTAAGCAACCTGCTTCCCTATTTATAATGGTCTGGCCCTCTAGCAACTTCAGCGCAAAATTATAGCTAATTTGCCTACAAACGTCAGGTGGTCATAATAATCTGGCCACTCAGTGTATCATCTCGTTCTTAAGAATACCTGTACCCCTGTATATTACGGTCTCTCAGGAAATCGTCCAAAAGCTTCTTGAATGATTCCACACTGCTTGTGGCAGCGAGTTCCAGACCCTAACCGCTCTAAATGTGAAGAACCCCCTTCGCCCCTTGTGCTGGAATTGTTCCCCCACCAATTTTAGGTGGTGGCCTCTAGTTTTTGTAATGGAGTTAATCGTAAATAAATTGTTGCTAATGTTGCTATCACCAAATGTAAGATTGTAGTCCATCACGGGAGCAAGCCTGTATCGGTGGCTACTTTACAACACACACAGGGACCATGGGGAACAAAAGTAGCCATCCTCCAGAAGGAAGGACAGTGTCAGCACCAATTCAGAGATGATTTGAGGATCTACAGCCGAGTGCTACACAAAGAAGATACATTTTTGTTAATAGTTAAGGTACCTGAATGTATTTTAAGATTTAACGCCTGAGTTTATTGTCACTTTAACTCAAAGAAAATGAGTGTCCAAAAGAGTTTCTTTACTCCTCAAGACCTGCCTGCCCAAAGAACCTGGCCCCTGGCACAACACGTCACAGCCATGCCTTAGGGACACCATTAACGTTTAACCCAGTATAGAAGTTAATGACATCAGGGTGTGACCAAAGTACAATTGTTTTCACATTTGTCCTGGCTTTGTTTTTTTATGATATTCTAGCAGCTATGATATTGATATGGCAACTGTGACATTGTGCACTGTATGGGATGCTTCCAAGAAAAGACTGGAGAATGGCAATGTACAAGACTCAGTCATAACAGTAATACTACTGTAATTTCTTGTTGCAGTTCAGCTATGTAGGAAACGATTGTTACAGTGTGAAAGTATTTCCAGCTATGGATTTAAAATGGATAAAAGAAAACTTGATCTCTCTCAGCAGATCATCATTAGTATAAAATCTGGCCGTCTATGCCCCCCCCCCCTTCTCCCACCTTCATATTGGTACAAGGTGCCGTTCAAGTAGTCACTTAAACCGGAACTATATTATACTATAACATGTAAAGATAATGCAGTACTGTATCAATAAGGGTTGGAGTGGTTGCATTTGATGACAACACTTATCCTCTGTAAAGTCTACAATGTAGGAAACCTGATTTCAGATGCACTAGAGGAGTCTTTGGGATCTTGGCGCCATTAGTCACAGCTCAGAGAAGGTCATTGGGCCCTCCCCATCACATTTTTGCTGTGGGGCCCTGTGATCTGTAGTTTCGCCCCTGGCCTAGGGGTTCATCTGCTGGCTGCAGTTTAAACACATTGAGGGGAATTTATCAACACTGGAGCAGACAAAATCTGGAGCAGCTGTGCATGGCAACCAATCAGCATCCACCTTTCATTTCCAAATCTTAACTGAACAAACTGAAGAGAGAAGCTGATGGGTTGCCATAGGCAACTGCTCCAGATTTTATCTGCTCCAGTTTTGATAAATTCCCCCCATTGAATTTTTAAAAAGATGATTAAATAAACCCCAAACCATGGCTGTCATCTGCAATTGTAATACTAGTACATACAATAGGCATGTATACCAGTATCTGTACTAATATAGAACTATTATGTCCTGTGTAGAAGATTGTACTCATTCTTATCTCAATGCACAGTGCCTATATGGTAATGATGTACCTGCCAAAATATTTGTCAAGCAATACCATGAAATGCACCCAACCCCTGACCATTCTCCCTCCTGTAAGTCCACCTAAGTAAATCCCTCTATCCCATTAGCTTACAGAGAAGTCACTCTGGCTGCAAGCCTTATTTTAGCCTTCTGCTGGTATGTAGGAACATGTACAAATAAAGCCACTTTATTGTATGCATTTTCTGAACTCTGCATCATATAAAATGACATATTCAGTTAGCTGTCCACAGTGTTTTGTTTTGATATGGAGTGACCCATACATAGTGGCCTCAAGCCTTGATTCTCATGGATACAAATTCAAGGAAAGGAATGCTAATTCCTGCTAATTCCATCTAATCCAGTTCCAGCTGTTATTATTCTAGCGCACATTAGAAGTAAAAGGAAGAATCTGATTGGCTAGTTTTAGGATAGCCATACATGTATAGAGTTCTCTAGTTTAGCTTGTGGGCTGAATGAAAACAAATCACTCAATTCCTTCATCTATGCGAATCAGCAGAAATGAAGAAATCTCCACTGCCTGCTATTGTTTTCAGAGAGCCACAGCATCCGCAGCTGCCTGAATACCCAAACTATGACCGCATTTGATTGGATGAAGTTGCTGCTAGGACGAGTTTCCACCCAGCTCAGTGAATTTTTTAATGGACTTTTGTCAAGCTCAGTGGTGCACCATGGCTAACCATGACCCACATTTTGACTGATTCAAAAGGAATAGGCCAAAATGTGAGCCATGTATGGCCAAGCTTAAGCATCACATTCACATTTTTTCCCTCTTGAGGCTCACTTTAGATTTTTGTCTAAAGCGCTCAGAAAACAATGACTTGTTTGTTATTCTCTTTCAGCTGACCCCAAGAAACATGGAGGGGTAAAAAAAGATTCCCACGGTGACGTGAAGCATAAACATGGGGACCACGGCCATGCACACGGCCATCATGGAGGAGACCACTGTAAAGGACACAAGGTACAATAATGGACACCGTCACAGCCCCCAGGCCCTCACAGTGACAGCCAAGGCTAAAGAATAGGAAACCGTTTACTTTCTACTCTTTTATTTGGTGAGATACTAGGATGTAATCCCAGATGGAAACAGCGGGCACGTTATAATTCCTCCAAGTAACATACTACTGCCTCCATTTAGTATTTCTAAGCTGGAAAAAATTGAAGATTTTTGTATCCCGTGCCTGCCAGCTTTCTGAGAAGGGAATAGGGGGACACAACCAAAACCTTATTCTTGGTTTCAAGTTCAGTAAGGCGGTATTAAATACTCAGTCAGTTTTTACTTCCCTCTGTTGTATCACGAGGACAGGAAGTGAGGAAAAGTCTCCAAAGGGAGACACAGACAAATAATAACACTCCTTTTTTGTTTTCTGATGAGCAAACTAGAACCTCCATCTGCCTTTTATATTTGCCTGTGACACCCCCCATCTCCCTAAGATTTTTCTGGATTGACACTTTAACTACATATTATTTCTTTTTTGTAGGGGGAACATGGACACACCAGTGATTCTAGTTCCAGTTCAAGTGATAGTGAATGTGACGGAAAGGTAAGTGTCCAGCTAATGGCCTTAATAATGTTATCACTACTCAGCACTTTATTACTCAGGTTTATTGCCACACTCTATGCCGGCATTTCTCAACCTTTCTACTGTCACAGGACCCTTTAAAAAACCATAAATGTAAAAAATGACATGCGGCCCCTCTATAATCCAAACCGGAACCCTTATTTGAGATAGGGGTCTGGTATGGATATTATGGGACCCCACTCACAAATTCACAAAAAAAGTGAGGTTCCACCCTTCACATCAGAGTCCTCCTTCAAATCAGGAGCCCCTTCTCACTAGAGGCCTCTCTAACATAAAAAGCCCCTTCACATCAGATTCCCCCCTTTATATTAGAGCCCCTTTGATATCAAAGCCCTTCTTTTACATCAGAGTTCTCAATCCTCCTTTCACATCAGAGTCCTGGAGGCTGACCTTACCGCACCATGAAAAGGCATGATGCTGTGCTTACATTTTGAGGAAGCCAGAAGGTACCCTGCTTGAGAAAGGTTGGACTATACATTGCTTTGGAGCTGATGATTGTGGAGAAGAACTAGACCAGGGGTCTCAAACCTCCGGCCCTCCAGCTGTGGTGAAACTACAAATCCCATGATGCATCTCTCTTCGGGAATCATGTCTGTCAGAATCTTGCAGTGCCTCATGGGATTTGTAGTTCCACCACAGCTGGAGGGCCGGAGGTTTGAGACCCCTGAACTAGACCATCCAACCAGATCTTTTCTTTCCGACCCATACTAGAAAAATGGCAGCTGGAATCTGAGCTCCAATTTTGACAAACTACCCTTTCTGATTCACGCTAATTAACATGAATGGAGGTATCCCCACCCCTTGCCGGATACTGTGTGCAGACAACCACAGCACCCATGGCTGTCTGAATACCTGAACAGTCACTGCATCTGATTGGATGCAGTCACTGGATGAGTATTTTCCACCACGCTCAGTCAATTCTTAAATTGATGTGTCAGGCCGGTTGGTGCCGACAAGGCCACCCACAGCTCAGGTTTTGGTCGATTCAGCAGGAAGTGACACAGGCATATTGCTTACTAGACATGTGCGATTCGGTTCGTTCCGAAATTCGTTTTGAACGAATTTTCGGAAATTCGGAGATTCGGATGCATCCGAATTCCGAATTACAGCTAAGACGAATGCAAACGAATCCGAAATTCCCGATTTCCCGAAATTCGTTATTGGACGAATTTCGTTGCACCATTGACACCATTTTACCTCTACATACCCACCTGCCTTCCACATGAGGCTGGGAAGTGTCTTTCTTTCCATGCTAGAAAAATAGCAGCTGAAATCTGAAAAGTTGACATTTAGTTCTAATTTTCACAAACTACCCTGATTCTTGTCAAACACATATTTCAGATTGTACAGGTGAAACTCGAATAATTAGAATATTGTGCAAAGTTCATTTATTTCACTAATGCAACTTAAAAGGTGAAACTAATATATGAGATAGACTCATTACATGCAAAGCAAGATAATTCAAGCCGTGATTTGTCATCATTGTGATGATTATGGCTTACAGCTCATGAAAACCCCAAGAACCCCAAATCCACAACCTCAAAAAAGTAGATGATTACATGCAATCAATAAAACAAGGATTGTACATAGAACAATATCGGACCTCTGAAAAGTACAAGCATGCATATGTACTCAGTACTTGGTTTGGGCCCCTTTTGCAGCACTTACTGCAATTACTTTTGCATGATATTCTAATTATTCGAGTTTCACCTGTATATTGCAGTGTGTGAGTCTTTAGAAGGAGGGTGAAGCCGTCTTGTTATTCTGGATGTCTTGTATAAACAGTACACGGGAAGATAAATAGATACATATTTACCCTCTGAAAATAGAATGTAGTACACTGGTTAGCAGACACAGGAAGTGGAATATTTGTGGTTGTCATGAACTGAATCTGAAGTCTATACCTACAGACGCCAGTGGGGGAAAATGATGCAGTTTGAAGCCATAAACTGCACAGTAGGAGAAGCATTCAGTATATTAATTCCCCCGGTAGGAATATGAAAGGGCAATGGATACGTATCCTCAATAAGAACACATTTTGAGCTATAACCGGAATAGTTTTGTGAAAGTATTTTTTCTTAAATTTGATATAAAGTATTTCATATACAAACCTGCAATTGCTCTGTCCATTGCTGATCTTTATCTAAGGAGATTTCCCTGCACAGGATGCAGCAACGTTACAGGAAGACTTTGATAAAAGGACATGAGATTCAATATCAAGAAAAATCGCTCCTGTGATGGACTACAATCTCACGTTTAGTTTACTCATTTGTATTGGGATTGTAGTCCATCGCGGGAGCAAGCTTGGAGCGGTGACTAATTTACAACACACACAGGGACCATGAGGAACAAAAGTAGCCACCCTCCAGAAGGAAGGGCAGTGTCAGCACCAATTTGAGGATCCACAGCCGAGTGATACACAAATAAGATACATTTTTGTTATTAGTTAAAAGAGAACTATGAGGTAAGTGTTTTTCCCCACAAGTTCTCTTTAGGGTTACGGGAGAACATGTACTAACCTCCTCTCATGACCCAAAGCTCAGTATATCGCTGGCTATTGCTGAGAGCGCCGCAGCCGGGATGGATCCCAACAATACTGTCTGGATCCACCCAGCTGTGTAGCCCCCTCCTCCGTCCGTTCCTCCATTCAGCACTGGAGGATCGGAGAGGGGAGGGGGGACAGTCACCGCTTTCTGCAGGGAGATGATTGGAGAGCGAGCGAGCGAGCGACGGTATGTTTTCGTTCACTTCCCGATCTATTGAGCCGACCTGTGACAGTTTCAATGTCATACGTCGGCTCTAACTTTGAGGATAAGTGGAAATCCTCCTTTAAGTTACACACACATTTTTTTTAAAATCAGGAACACTCACTGATACCAATATTTACAAAAGCCAATATCTAAAGTTGTAAAAGACTATAATTTAATTCTAAAGAGCTGTGGAATGTCCTTACATCCAATGCAAGTGAATGGATGTGATGATGTCACAGGTTCTTAGAGCCGAGGGAAGACGCAGCTGTGGGGACTTGCCTAGCAGCCAGGCGGGTCTGAAGATTATTTTAGACCTTAGACCGAAATTAGCACTTTACCCTTGCACTGCGTGCCCAGAGTTTCTCTTCATAGCCAAGCTTTAAAGCGCTGACTGTTTGCTACCACCTTAGATATAAATCATAGCTGTTGATTGAGGACATTGACCGCAGAGGAAAGATCCTTCCACATTGTTAATGTATCACTTCCCTACACCTATTGCTCTGTTTAGTGGGTATTCTAAATCTGCCGTCAGAATATCAATAATAGCCTGCAACATTACTCGGGACGAGACACCAGGTCTTCAGGCAATTGAAGAAGTGAAGGAACTCGGTCATTATTTAAGAATTGTATTATTTTTTTTATTGTATGTATGAAATTAGACAATGGGCATTGTGATGTCATCTGCATGAGCTGCCCTGGCTTGAGTTTCTGAGACCATACCAAGGCAATGTACAGTGAGATGTGTCCAACAACAATCCTTAATAGCTGCACATAAGCCACAGGTACACTTAAATAAATGCACATCCCTGCTTGTCTGTTTCCTCAATATAAAAAAAAAATTATATATATATTAAAGTGACAAAGTCAAAAGGTTATTTATACTGTTTCAAGTGCTGATGAAATCACTTACAATGGGATGCTGCTTCTTGATGTTTAAAAGGTTTAGTTTCCTGCAGAATCAGCTGGTCCCCTGAGCACTGGTCCTCATATCCTGTTTTAGGGTGGCTCCTTTCCCTTGCAGGATCCTGTGGAGTCAACCTTGCGTGTGCTAGTAAGTGGTGTGCGTCTCTACAAACACAGTAAGGCAGGCCTCTCCCCTGCTCTCCGCTCCCTCCTCCAAGCTAGTAGAGGGACAGTTGCTGGAGACTGCTCTATCTTTTGTGAACTTGTACTGGACAGGAAGTTCAGGGAAGCCGAGCAGAGAGAGTTAGAAACATGATGACTAAGTGTTTGGGCAAAAATTTAAAGAAATACTTTGCTGGGCGATGTATATTTGTTTGATGTGGATTAATGATTGAAAAAATATTTGAGAGTTGAATTCTACTTTAAAGCTCAACTTCAGGCTGATAGAATTGGCCACCATTTAACCCATGTATGCATTCTTTATAAAATACTTAAATGCACTTGTAAATTGTACGGTTACATAATTTCTCAGGTGGAAAAATAAGTTCATCGCGTTCAAGCAATACAGCCAGAAAAAAAAAAAAAGAAATACACTTAATAAAATGATACCAAAGCTTCTATTACTCTCGTGCATAGCTGGAGTGGACTGGGGGAAGAAACACTAAGAGTAGGGATCAGATTGAGTTCAGGCTGAACTTGAATTTGTCCAAAACCCAGAAGGCAGCTGTCAGCCCAATCAGTTGCGTCTGAGGCTTTCCCTGCCCTGCAGTTGCACATAAAAGTGTGGCCATGTAAGGCCACTGTTGTCACCACCATCCTGCACCTTTGTTTACATGCATTAATATAGCAGGGAATGCCCAGCTGCAGCTCCTCTCCGTGGTTAGGACAAACTTACCCAAACCCACGCTCCTACCTAACGAGAGCCACGCATGCTTTGCTGCATTGCTTAGGGCCCTCAGGCTATACAACTGGGGGCTTGCAGGAGGAGGAGAGGGAAGGCGAGCAGAACTAGGACCTCCACACACTCTCTGCCACACAGGAAGTGAGATAAAAGGGTGGCTACAAAACAGTTGTGCTTTCATAAACTGTAGGAAATAACCCTGACGTTCTGTCTTGGCAGAAACATGGAGAAGGCCATGAGCACAAGAAAAAGGAAAAGAAAGTGCATAAGGACAAGAAGCCCAAAGACAAGAAAAAGGAGAAAAGTGAGAAGAAGCACTAATCCGAGAATGTTTATATTGGTAATAATACATTTGTATCCTAAAGAGCTAATGTGATTTATTGCGCCTGCAAACATTTCCTCAATAAATTACCATTTCCTCCTGCACGTTTGTTTTCTTTCCTCTGAACACTGAGGCTACTGATAGTTCTGATCAAATATACTGTATGTTGTTTGTTTTTTGACTGGCATCTGTCACATATTCATAAAATCAGCATCCATGAAATCTTTTGGTGAACCACTAACGCTATACAGGGCATTTTTCCCCTATGCTTAAGAGAGGGGAGACATTGTCATATACAGGGTGCTTGCTTTTACAGTGTCTTAGTGGCTTATGTCAGCCTTATCCCTGAAGCAAAAAGAGAATGGACTTTGAACCGATTTGATTTTCAAGCCCCACTCTGAGCAGCAGCAACAATTACCTGTGTACTGTCACTTAAACACACACACACACACACACACACACACACACACCCCCTTCCTCGCTGCAAGGGTTAAATGTTCATTCGGTCTGGGGTTAGAAGAATTAGCTATAATACTTACCTTATTCCTCACGTTAACACGTCTTCCACCATGCTGTGTGACTGCTCCTCTGACTCTACTTCGCCAGTCGCAACCTTTCGGACTTTATTATGTACAATGCAGGGCCAGCAGTACTACATTGCATGTAAGGATGGTGAGGGCCCACCCCAATCCCAGAGCTTTCGAGAGAAGAGTGCCAGCTCCTACTGAGAGAGGCTGCTAAACAGATTGGTAATACCGAGCCCCATCTGGGAAAGACTGGAGGCAACACATTACACTTGCCTCCTGCTGTCCTTTCCATAACTGATACTTGGAGATCTTTAATCAGCTACATTTCCTTTTGGCAGTATTATTTCAAATTTTAATAATATTTTTATGTCCTCCACTAAATATATTGGAGGGGAATTTATGAAATCTGGAGCAGCTGTGCATGGCAACCAATCAGCTTCTCTCTTTCATTTTCAAATCTTGACTGAAGAGATAAGCCGATTGGTGGCCATGGGGAACTGCTCCAGATTTGATAAATCCTCCCCATTGTGGTATATATTAATTTCTTCTATTTTGGTTTACTAAAGGTACTTTGGCTCCATCTAGTGGTGATTATTTCCACTAGCGTACATGACAGGAGAGTCATTTTCTCTTGGCGTTTCCAGCTGTGACATTTTAATGCCAGAGGTAATGATTTTGTTCCTTCCCACCTTGGGGGTCCTCCCCTTCCCCCTGTTGGATTCTTCCCTAATGCAAAATAGATTCAGCAGGTAATATGGAACCCCTTTACTAGTCAAGTTAGAGTCGTCGGCCTGTGAATGCAGCCACAGAGATCTTACTACCAGATGTCTTAAGAGATATAAGAAACCATCAAAGGCAGTTCTGCCACTTTTGTGTTGTAGGCAAACAGCATGGCATACGCTGGACTGTGCTTTTGAGTTTTGCTGAGTGAACAGTTTCTAGTCCTTTGGTAAATCAACCCCAATGGTTCCTAGAGACTGCAGGTGGGAGAAGCATGAATCATTTTTTTCTAAACAAGAAAATATTTCTACGACATCCCACCATTATGTTGCATAAAAAGTTGCTTTTGCCATGAATACTACTAGGGATGCACAGATACTGTTTTTTTCAGTATCGAGTATGGATAATGTTTTTTTTTTCGGTACTTGCCGATACAGAGTACCGGTGCTGTGTGCCCCGAATATTAGGAAGCCAGGCGGCAGATCAGCAAGCCGGGCAACGGGTCATGATCGCCTGTGAAGCTGGTGTTCTAGCGTAAACACTGGCTTCAGACCAATCAGGAAGCCAGGTGTCGAGTCATAAGGGGCCACCCGGCTTCCTGATTGGCCAAGAAGCCGGGCGACACACAATGACCCGCCTCCCCAATTGGCTAGGAAGCCGGCTTGACATGTTTCTAGGCAGCGTGGCTTCCGGACCAATCAGGAAGCTGGGTCATTACGCGCTGCCCGGCTTCATGATTGGCTTCACGTGTTGCCAAGCAGCCTGGCTTTCTAACCTATCAGGAAGCCGAGAGGCAGGTCATAACCCACCACCCGGCTTCCTGATTAGAAAGGAAGCTGACTCAATGCTCCTTCAGCACTGCCTCTGACCGGAAGTTCCAGTATCAGAGGTAAGTATGGGAGCATTTGGGCAAATACGAGTACTCGCCCAAATACTCGGTATTGGCACAGATACTAGTATCGGTACAGCCCTAAATAATACAAACAAAAACTGCTTCTCAGCTACCAGCCTAGGCCACATGGTCTATGCCTACCAAATTCCTAGAGACTGCAGAGTCTACGGTTTTAAATTGGAAAGATTCTAGACCAGGGCTCAAAATTTCAAGTCCTAAGCTACTAGCCAGGCCTGAAAAGTTACTCGCCACCAGTTGCCCCACCTAACCCCTAATCTGTCCCGGCCTTAACTCCGCCAGGTCAGCGGTGTGACGCAGAGTATAAAGATCAGTAACAATGCACAGTACAGAAGTCAGTGGTGCAATACAGAATATAGAGGCCAGCTGTGTGACGCGCAGTGCAGAAGTCAGCAATGTGACGCGCAGAGGTGAGGATGAGACACACAGTACAGAGGTCAGCGGTCAATATGTAACGCAGTGCAGAGGTCACAAAGAAAGTACAGGGACTTACAGTTGCTTTGACCTCTTCTTCTCCTGGTGATGGTGGGGGAGCAGTGAGGTTGCCTGCACGTCCAGCCGGGGGGTCTCTCTCTCTCAGCAGGCAGTCTTCCTCTCCCGCCAATGGCAGCTGAGGTGGGCAGAGGAAACTGCTTTGGCCACCGAGGAGCCCAATCAATAGGGCACGGACGATGGCAGTGGAGCTTCTTATTCTCTTCTCCCCGCCACCGCAGTCTTAAAGAGGCCCCCCTCCTAGTCCACATCTTTCGTACGTTTTTAATCTGAGTTGGCCCACTCAGTATGCCCCTCTATTGAGTGGGGCACAAAGATTAATAATGTGCTGGATTAGTCTGACCCACTCAATATGGCCGCAAGCGAGGGGCATACTGAGTGGGGTAACTCAGATTAATAACGTCCAAAAGATGTGGACTGGGAGGGGGGGGGGGGCCTCTTTAAGACTGCTCAGAATCACCCCGCTGAACGATCACCTCTTCTCCAGACCGCTCCAGCTTCGGGAAGCTACGATCACACCTGTCAGCGTTCCCTCTCTCTGCTCCCGGCCGCTGCAGCTTCAGAGCGGCCAGAAGGAGAGAGAGGGAGCGATAACGGGTGTAATCAGAGCCGCCTCTCTGAGTGGAGCTGAAGCGGCCGGGACGAAAGAGAGTGAGCGCAGAGAGCTCGCTCCGGCTCTGGATGGCACACTACCACCCGGCAATCGCTCGCTTCGGTTCTCCTTCTCGGGCTCGGCCGCTCTGTAGCTGCAGCAGGCGAGAAAGAAAAAAAACAGAAGCGAGCGATTGCCGCGGCGGTAGTATTCCATTCCTAGTCCCACCGGCGAGGCACCATTGCTGACATTCCACTCGCCCCCCCGCAATTTTCACTCGCCAATTGCGAGGGGGCGAGTGGAAATTTTGAGGCCTGTTCTAGACGATATGCAATAAGAGAAGGTGATCAGCAAGACACTGGGAAGTAAAGCTGGCTCATATGGCTGTATCTACAGTATACAAAACTCCAAACACTGCTCCTAATACATTAAAGCACAGCTCCTACGTACCTTACCTTAGGGTACCTAACTCCCCGACTGACACAGCCCCTGGTTTAACAGTGAACAGCTGATCCTGCATCCAGAAGACAAATGGACATCTGCAGCAGATCCAAGCCTGATTTGCATTCTTCTGCATGGGGTGTATCAATAAGGATTCAACACATAACATTGAAAAAGACAATTTAATGTGCTTATGAGACATCGGCTGTAACAATTAAATAAAAACGCAGACTGCTGTGTGAAGTCTCAATCACAGCACACACACTGCTGGACTTTACAACATTCAAGGACGCCCCTGCCCGTCTATTAGCTAGACCATTATACAGGTACACAAGTGGCCCAATATTGTACAATACCGAGAGCCCCAAGCAAGTAAAAGTCCAGACATATTAAAGCTTGGTGAATATGCAGCATTCCTGGTCTGCTGAACGGTTTCATAAGGCAAAGTCCCCTTTGATTGGATCCGCACTGAACTCTATGAGAAGTCATTGGGTCTTGGTGGTCTTTCCTCTCAGACAAAGCTAAGTCTTAATCAGATGCAACGGAGTAGCCGAGAGTCCAGTCCTGTGCTTGGTGTGGGGGTTACAGGCACCAGGAACTGCGATTACCAGCACAATTGTGGTATGTGTCATGCAATAGAGTGAGATCTCCAAATATATGTATAGTCCTAAGAGTTCAACCATAGAAGCAAAACACTTCTTTAATTAAAATAAAAAACGCTAAAATAGGAGATTTTAAATATAGGGTACAAAATGAAAAAGGCATTTTGGAATTTTTTTTTGGGTTTAATTTGTTGCCTAATACTTATTGGCCCATCCACTTGGGTTAACTTTTGTGGATCCTTTGTAAGCACAAGCAAGTGCACAACTGAAGACTCTACAATGAATAAGTTTGATGAGAACTGAGCCGTGCTGTGTGAGGTTGCAGTAGTGAGAGGCCACCATCATCTTGAGTGCGTGTCATCCAGTGGTCTTGGTCAGGGTGATGGAGCAGGGATGGAAAAAGGGACCGCTGTACAATGAATGAGCAGGCAATGTGATCCACGCACAGAAACAGTACGAAATTGTGAGGAAAAAAAAAGACTTGTTGTGGGATGTTTGATGTCATCCTGATGCATTCTCAGGCCAGGCTTAGACTGAAGGGGAATCATCTCACTAGGTGATATGTCAGCCAGTACATGAACAGAGGCTGCACTGCAGCAATGGCCATGGTCAGATACATACGCAGTTGGTTCCTAGCCCCACGCACCAGAACTCCTTCTGCTGCAGCTTCTGACAAGATCTTTAATCGAAGAGTCCGGACCTAGGGTAAATATCAACTGTACGTTAGACAACAGGCTGAAAAATAAATATTGGTGAGCCTCATTTACAATAAAAGGAGAACAGTCTGCACTGACCTACAGCAAACAAGCAGCTTCTGCAGCAATTGCTTCCATTTTTAAAAGGCGAAGGCTCCGACTGGCTGCAATTTACATTTCATTATACAGTCTGTGTATTAGAGTACACACAAGGGTGTTCTGAGGGAGTAGAGATCTAGCCATATTGACCTACTTTATTTATATTTCAAAACAATTTTAGGAAAATAGAATAAGTGCCCAAGTCATGGACAGCAACACTAGGAGTCCATTTATACAGCATAACTGTAGGTATATTCATTCTGTGCAAGTTAACCGGCTGGTATTGGAATGGGGCAAAAAACAAATGTTCTTAGTGTAATTTCTTGTGTGGTCAAACATTCTTCAATAGATATATTCATATAAAGCAGGGTGCATGGGGAAAATACCACGTCATGACCATTAGATAGAGTTGATGATTGTAGGAAACAAAAACATGTTAGTAAAGACAATTTAACTGAGCGCTAGAGGGAACGAGTATATAAAAGTATCTATCGATACTATGGTGATAGCAATGGTTCCATTTATATGCTCATTCTCTCCACTGTTCTCATGAACATGTATTTGCTCTCTCCAATGGCTACAGAAACTGTAATAAAATATCTACACTTCAAAAATGTAAAAAATATGCATCATGTAATGGCAAATTTTAGCTAAAAATCAGAGCCAAGGTACATCTTACACGACCCCCTCCCCTTTCCCATAGTCTGCACAACCAATTAGGTCAGTATTATATGAAGTCCATAAATGTTCATAATACATATACTGTACATCTCCAAATGATCCAATTCCAGTGAACCAAAACGTCTCATCAATGTGTAAAAAGCCATTAGGTCCATCTTTATAGCGTGTGTCCAAAGGGTAATAGGATTTATTAGGGATCATTTTTATTTTATATACTGTGCCAGGATATATACCGTGTTTCCCCAAAAATAAGACGGTCTTATATTTTTTTTGCCTCAAAAAAAAACAAAACACACTAGGTCTTATTTTCAGGGTAGGTTTTTTTTTTTTTTTAATGTTCAACAATCCAAAATTAATGCAAATCGAAATTAAATAATCCAAAATGGCAAAGTTAATAGGGTGATCAGGGCAATAATGGGGTGCCGTACCTTTCCAAGAGCAATTTGGTAACCAATCGCTGGCCAGAATGAGCGAAACGTACTTTCACTATCATTCCTCACAGGCGGAGATCATTTGGTATCACTCCGCTTGTGACAGGAGGCGGCGCTATAGAGGAAACATCAGCTTATGCGGCTCTGTTCACTCTGCTGCCGCCTCGCTTCCTTTAGCGCTGGCTTCGTTGGCATCGCTGATTCTCTTCTGTGGCTCTTCAAGTTACCCCTTATGCAACCACCGGCCCTGGGAAAGGTCACAACTAGGTCTTATATTATAGCAATTCCCAAAAATAGTACTAGGTCTTATTATCGGGGTAGGTCTTATTTTCGGGGAAACAGGGTAATAAACACAGGACTAGTACACACCAGCCCCAGTGTGGCCCGGCTCTGTGCTGGAACGCACTGGATTGCATCCCGCTCAGCTCACTGTGTTCTGAGGCGGGAGGGGACGTGGCAGTGCATGGACGTCAATAGCATCACAGCCAGGCCCACAGCGCAATCGCCCGCACCAGAACATGTGGCACATCAATGCCTGTGGTCCGGTCAGAAAAAAAAAAAAAATGCAGCAGGCCGGAAGGCACTGGGGCTGGTGTGAACTAGCCCTCAATGTATGTCAGTGAGACGTTGAAAAGGACAACTTCCCCTGGCTAAAACTGGGTTAAGCATTTTCACCAACAGGTACACCTCCTCTCTGTTAATTAGCCGGCACCTGAGGCATGTTGAGTTGCTCAGAGCCTGAGAGTGTCGAGTTAGAAAACCACCGTCAGCGCTCAGCACTGCTAACTTAGCACTCGCAGCGGAAGTCAATGGTATGCAGAGCAAAGAGTGTAATGGAGAAGGTGGGGACAGAGCACCAGCAGCCATTTTAACCGTGGGCACACACGGCAGCACTGGAGAAAGGTGCCTGAACCCCGAAATCAATTCATTGTGGGAACCTACAATTTAATGTTTTGGTGGACGAGCAAACCAAGTATTCGTTGGAAAATGGTATATTAGTCAAAAATATCATCCTCCGCCATTTTGCTTAGCACTGTGCAGCCAAAGTGTTTAGTGAAGCTGCTGCAGAACAGCTACTCAGCACTTGGCTAAGGAACAGAAAGCGCCTCTGTTACAGCAGTGAGAGCCTAGAGAAGGGGAGAGAGAGACCCAGGCTGCACTGGCTGGGTGCAGACACAGAGTGGTGAGCATTTGAACACTTGTGGGATAAGGTCTGGCTAAAAACCGTATGATAAACGGATTGTTTATGCATCTTGTTTTTGCACCGGAAGTCGGAATAGCTGGTCCAGTAAGAAGTAGCGAGGGAAACTACTGTCAGTTAGCCTCCTAAGTTGGAGTAGACCATTTTATTTGAGTTACTTTTAAGTTGCTACTGGAAGCGGTTATGTTTAAAAGGGAAAGCGTACCCTACTGATGGAAAGACTTATGTTTGCCCGCTATAAAGCTGCATTTACTGCCAATTCCTGACTACAGACCTGTGACTTACCTACAATACATTGACCACAGGGTGTGGATCTACACATGTATAAGTTTTGGTTCACTGGAATTGGATCATTTTGTTTTATATTGTATGATTTGTACTTATTTGATTGTGTAGACTGATTTAGGATTTTCGATAATAATAAGCACTACACTGGTTTCACACAATTTTGCGGTGTTCGCACCTTTGAGTCACTAGGCTGGCTATACTTCGGGATATAGAGCAGACTTTATAAATCATTACTAATTAGGGCAGTATTGGAGCCAACAGTATATACATAGTGGCCATTCTCAGGTGTGGGGGCTGCCAATTTCCAGGAATACATCTGGCAGTCTTCAAAACTGTGTATGCTCACCCTAATATTTGTCAGATACCTACCATGAAAAATACTATGGAGATTGAGCACCAGCCGAGTAGCACATAATATCCGGTCTTCCCAAACAGTAGTCCACACAGAACCGCCCAGATCATCCTACAGAAAAACACAAAGCGAGATCAGGAGAGAGAACATAGTGGTAGAAGAGGAGGCGGGGGCTATACATTAGTGTATCTAATCCAAAAGAACAAAAGTGTAATAAACAAATACAAAATAAAACAAAACACACACAATAATCCAATATAACCAATCCATGGTTGTCACACAGACTAGACTTCAAACATGTCTGCCTTTCTCCAATACAAGGGGTATGATTGGATCAGTAGTGTACAGAGCAAAGATTGTTTTGCTGACAGTTCTGCTAACAGGAAGTGACAAGGACACTGCATGTGTGGCAAGATCAACAGGTATTTCCTGTTCTTGCTAAAATGTTCTGAAAAATAAAACCTATTGCAGCCACCAGAAGGACTGGTAAGCTGCAATACATCACATTTTTGTTCTTGGGTTTAGTTATCATGTAGGGGCTCTTTTTTTAAAGCAGTGAGAAAAGAAAGAAAGACCTGGGCCATATATTAAAAACACTTGTTATTAACTGTTACAAATCATTTTAAACTCCTTTGTCCTCAGTGAAGAGGATATGGACCAACCCACAGGATCAAAGCACCACATTTTGACTCATCAGACCAACAAAAGATGTTTAAGGGACTTTTCAGGTGCTGCAATGACATCCTAACCAAAATATATAAAATCTACAAAATGTATAATTTTTAAAAATTTGTTTTTAAAAGTTCTAAATAAATTTGTATATTTTTATAGTCTGGTAATGGTATCATTGTAGAACCTAAAAAACTCCCAAACGTTTTTTTGTTGGTATGATTAGTAGGGATGCACCGATATATCGGCCGAAAATGACACTTTTGGCATAATGCCAAAACTGCAATTTTCCTGCCGATACATCGGCGAATCCCTGCCTTCCCACCTCCCCGCTGCTCTGTGTCCCAGTGGGGAGAAAGTGACAGCCGACCGAGCGCTGCGAGAGGCCGGCGTCTCCTCCCACACCGCTTAGCCTCCTATCACAGTCCGGCAGAGTGGTGTGTGGGTGGAGACAGGCCGCACTGTCACAGAAGGCTGAGTGAGCGGTGTAGGGAGGAGAGCCCAGCATCCTGTGACAGCGTGTCAGAGAGGACAGCAATACAAACACTCAGAGATCAGTGATCGCTTGTACATAATTGAGGATATGGTATGTTAACTATATCCTCAATTATGAATGAATGGGAAGTGATCTACATCTCCTCCTGTTCATTCATAGTTGTGCTTATAGTAAACATACCATGTCCTCATGTTATCAATGAACAGGAACACTCAGAGTATCCTGTTCATCGATAACAGGGGATACAGAAAAAGAGATAGAGGACTCTGTTCTCAATCTCGTTTTCTATTTTAAAAGGGAAATATCAGGGGTCTGTTTAGACCCCCAATATTTCACCAAAGCCCCTAAAAAGTAAAAATACTTAATAAAAAATGAATACAAATAAAATATACAAATTTTTAGAAAGTTTATAAAAAATAAAATATTTAAAATAAAAAACATTTTCGGTTTCGACCTGACAATTTTTTTTATTTCGGGTTCGTTTCGGTGCACCTCTACTGATTAGTCTTAGGGCCTGTTCACACCAGGAACAGTGCGTTCCAGCCCAATTCTGGCCAGAACACACTGGATCGCATTGCGGCCGGTTTACTTCCTTGTGGGGCGGGACAATAGTTCCCGTGCGGCCGATCGCATTGTGGCCGGAGGGCGTCGATACGGTGCCATTCACTTCAATGGACCGCCAGGTCCCCTCCCTGCCCTTAGAACACACTGTACTGAGGAAGCATGGAGGGTGCGACCAACATTTTTTTTAAATCTAAAAATGTAAGATCCCTGACTGCCATGATCACTGGCTTCAGTGCTTGCAGCTGGAAGTATGGTTACTTCACTCTAAAGGTGCCCATACACTGCACGATTCTCGTACGAGAATCGCAGGAAATCCCACGATCGTACGAGAAGTCAAAGACTGAAAGAACTGAAGCCAGAGACAGCCAGGCAACTAGCATATTCAGAAGGAGGTCAGCAATGGCAACCTTGAATTTTTTAAGAACAAAAGGTTTCCTTTATAATGAACTAGATACTAATAGTTGTGTAGGTCTGTTCATAAAGCAATGAACAAGAGTTCACCATACATTCTCTGGTGGAGAATCCCTGTCATTTAAAACAAAACAGACCTAGAAGATTCTCCAGCAGAGAAGGTCACATTCACTGCTTTATAAACAGCCCCTATATTGTTTACCATAAGTTTCATTACAGATTTCTTGTGCGTTGCCACGTGCTTGTAACATCCAGTATAAGTACTTCTCTGTACATTTATACTAGTATTCCGGGTCAAATGGTTTTTAGTCCAGGCAGCAGAAAATAGCAGGATGCAAGATGGTGGGATCCTTGATGATTTTTGAGAGACTTTTGTTCTGGAAACTACCTATGAAGTAACCAGGGAGTATATGCTGATCCGATGCAAAAAGTTTACATTTTGTGTATTTTTTTTTAAATGAACTATGGCTATCGGGTTCCTTTGCCCAGTCCTAAAATATTATTATGGTCTTCAGGAAAAGGAGTTTGAGCAAAAGCGATTTAGAGATTACTCTTCTCCTTATAGATGCTCACCCCACATATTTGTATCCAGAAAATGCTACAAGATCCACTGTAGTCAGGTCGGTATTTACAGTCACTAGATAGAGGCTGAGAAGAATGGCAAACACTTCCACTATGAGCCAGGCAAGGGCAGAACTAGCTTGCATACCTAGGATCTCCGGGGAGAAGCTGGGGATAGAAATTAAGAAGATTACTGAATACAGTTCATTGTGAAAATACAGTATAGCAATGCTAATGTCATATTAGGAGTAAAAGGGGCTGAACCCCAGGCAAACAGCTAAAGGCACCGTTGAAATTGATATGGTTTTGTGACCACCCCAGGACGTTACTGGACAAGTAATATAGCACTTCTGTAACAGTTATGTCATCTCTTGGCACAGGTAAGAATCAAGTTGACCAACAAACATATTTCAATCATATGCTCCATAATCCTTTTCTTTCTCATTTCTTTCTGGCCAGCAGAGTGGTCTGGTAGTATAATCAGAACAAAGGGAACATCAGAGCCTCAACGCTCTGATGAAAGGGGTGCGACCCCAGAAATACACCAGTCATTACAGCACTCGTTGGTCACTGTCACATGTGGATGTTAGAAGCTCATTTGGACTTTTCATGTGCTCCTCTGTCCGATGGTCAGCAGAGCTGCCTGTTTATATGTTTTATCCAGTTCACAAGGTCAGTGAACTCGGTTGCCTTTGTTCAGTTTATACATGGCGATGCAGCACACACGTGCTCTTCTCCCCAATTAGCAGAAGACAAAATGATTGGCTCAGAGACCCTTCTCCAAGGGAAAGAGCTGCTGTGCGGGTAATAAAGAAGGCCAATATCAAGAGAGATTTGGGTACTTGTTTTAGTCTATGTCAAAGTACAATAAATAAATACATAACTGGATCGGATTTACGTCTGGCTGGGTTCAGCTGAAACCGCAAAATACATTTGCGACATTTACATATGATAAAAATACTTTTATGTGACTGCTGAGCGAGCAGTTATTCCCAACACTACTGAGACTAATAAACAAGTATAAATCGGTCATAGGTCTGCCCTGAGAACTGTTCCGCTTGTCTCATGAACGACCTTTGAGCTTACGAACGCCTGCAACACAGCATGACTCATTTCTGATTATTTCCACAGCTTTAAGCAGGATCTGAGACCTTGGTATGGATTAAAGGGGAGACATTACCTTCCATGTACCTGGGCAACAAGCACAAACTCCATTACTGTCAGAGAGAAGGAAAGTGGAAGATACAGTTGTGGACAGCACTGAGAACAATAGTTCTCTACACACAGGACCCCCAAATAATATCAGAGAACAGTACAGTACTGTATATATAATTTCCATTTCTAAAGTATAACAATGGCAGGATAAAAAGAACATGAAACTCACTTGTTCTGTGTACCCAGAGCCAGCCCAGCGACCAGAAGATATGTGATAAAAGCCATAGCTAAGGAAGGGAAAGAATGGGTTTAATAAAAAGGAGTATATTTTTTTTCTTTAGCAAATAGTATACATATACACATACTGGGGTATGCATAAACCAAAGACTGAACAATTGATATTTGCACTGTGCAGGATAGCCGTTCATTTAGTGAAGGTAAGCAAGAGCAGGCTTAAATTACTCAAAAGGAACGATTATGAACCTTTTGTATGAATAAAAAACTGGAGTTACTTCTGCTAAAACAACAAACAGCATCAAATCTGCTCCGATTCTGATTGGGGACTGTGGGGAAATACCTCCAGATCTTGTAAGAACACGTTCAGACATAAGGCCCTTAACAAAGACTCATGTTTAAAGGATCTGTAAATGCAACATTAACAATTTTGTCAGTGTCTGCAGCCTGAAGGAGTTTTCTTACACCAGTTAACACGTTAAAAGACAGACACCTAGAACAACTTGCTTCCTGTGCCTGCCCCGCTAAAGGAAACCTGTGAAAAGGAAAAACAAAACCCACCATTGCCGACTTCTGCTTTTAAAACTGCTAGTTGCCTGGCTGTCATGGAAACTCTGGCTTCAGTGCTTTGAAGTACAGACCCAGAACGAGCATGCATATGAGCACTACTGCCTTTCATACAAGTTCTGGGCCAGCAGCTCAATACAGCAGGAAGTAAACATTTTCAGAAGGAATTGAAACAATTCCATTCCTCATACTTCTCAGACAGGTTTACTTCAGGATCATTCGAAGTCAGTGGGAGGCATGCTGTGTGTCCAATTATTATAACATGTGAAAGATAGAATGGCCACATAGATACTTTGGTGAAGTCTACTACACACATGCGATTGTTAAGAAGCCTGAACAAAGCCATTTTATCCCCATAAAAAAACAAAAAATTATGTTTTCATGAATTTGAATGGCGGTTTTGTTATGTAGTCAGCAGATATAGACAGAGTGTTTAGGGGGAAAAAACATTTTACCAACTCACCTGGAATGTAGAGGTCTGGGGCATTCACATCAAACCTTGGAGCTACAGGGATGTCCTGCTGGTACCGGACTTCCCAGTCCTGAAATACACAGAAATCCAAATAGTCTTCACTCATCCTTCTATCTTTTTGTTCATTCTATGACAACACTTGCCAGGACTGGGTCTGGGATCACAGCGTAGTAGAGCACATTATTCCACAGCCGGAGTCTCAAAAGAAATATATGCAGTACAGAACAATACCTATTTATGTGCCAGAAATGCACGCAGTTCCCAATTTGCTATCGTGGGCTGGCAACACACAGGTGTTTGTTGAGTGAAAGTGGAAGACATTTTGTCAGCCCTTTCCAGTAGTCTTTTGCTAAACTAATGATTCCCACCACAACAGAGTCCTGTAGTCCAGGATAGTGGACACTTATCGAATCAGCCAAAACATACAACACACCTTTCAATGGTATGTTTGTAAAGGTGCCCATACACCTTACAATTATCCGCAGATTTTCTGTGGTCAGATGGAAAAAGTGCAACAGATTGGCCCAGGTGGAGATTACTCCATCCACACAGTTAAGTGTAGATGGAGATATCTGTTCCACCTTTTCCATCTGACAATAGAAAGTCTGCAGATAATTGTAAGGTGCATGGCCAGCTTAACAGTTCTCATTTATCCAGGTCATGGTATACCTAGTAGTAGCTAGTAACATTCAACTGGACTTCTAATTCTAAAGGCGTTTCGTAGCTTCTCCAATCCACTTCTTTCTGATAAGTTCAGAGTGCCAGGAACATACCTTAGAATTTATGTCACACAGGTAGCACAGACAGCATAATCCAATCATCATGAATGTGTAGATGTTGACTGTCCAAAAAGGGAACTGGCGGTCTGAAAGTTGTCAGCCACCCTGTTCTAGTTACATAATTCCAACCATGGTATCAGGAAGTCTGCATAGTTGTCAATTCCCAATTCGCATGGCAAAAGGCCCGAGTTGTTGTCAAATCGCTGGGGTAGAGATATATTCTTGGACAATAACATCTAGACAATCCATTGTGATTGGATTAAAAGAGAACTAGGAGTCATACGAGTTCATTTACTACTGTTGTGACCCAAAGTCAGCATATAGCAGGCTGCTGCACGCCCTATGCTGACAGCTCAAAGCTGTGCTGCAGCTGAAAAAGATCCTGACAATATTGTCGTGATCCACCCCGCTGACTGACAGACAGCTGGCTCAGCCTCTCTAGAACCAGCACTAGCTATGCTCGCCCCTTCCTGTCTGTCCCTCCGAGTTCTGGAGGAACAGAGAGAGGGGGAAGAATCTGTAGAGAGAAGCCATGAGCTGAGCGATCAGTGGTTTGTGATCGTTCAGTTCTAAATCTATAGAGCCGATGTGTGACAGCTGCAGTGTCACATGGCAGCTTAAACTACTGGGAAGAGCATACTTTACTCTCCCATTACTTATCTGTACAAAAAAGTCAAGGCAACTGGACTTGCTGTATTTTTCTTGAAGACGTTTCACTGGCCATCCAACCAGCTTTCTCAATTCAGAATGACTTGTACAAAACTTCTCTACAGGTCATTCTGAATTGAGAAAGCTGGTTGGATGACCAGTGAAACATCTTCAAGCGAAATACATCAAATCCAGTTTAGTTGCCTTATTTTTTACAGATATACCATGACCTGGATGAATGAGAACCTCCACAGACATCTCCCATTACTTCACCTTTAGGGTGTCTGTGCCACCTGCGTGGATGCAAATGTGGATACATCTTCCCGATACCCAGAGCTGAAGAAATGATTTACAGATCAGAAAATACATTCTTCATTACACTGCTTAGTCAAAGGTTACAAATGAGACAAAAGGGAGCCTCAAAGCAAGCAGCTCTGCGCTCTCACTGTCTAAACTAGAGTGCTCAGAGAAGTCTTTGTCGTGTATTAAATATATCAATATGCCAATGGCCACCACATGCAGGGTCTTCCTAAAGAAGTTAAATAAATACACATAGCCTAATAGTCATCGTTATGGTTCAGACAACCTAGGCTGGATTTTGTATTTGCTCTCAGAAATTGCATTGCCTCAAGCAGTTCTTTGACAGCTAGCTATAGGCTGCCATTCCTTAATCAGATCTTACCTGGTGCATAAAGGGAAAGAAGAGCAGTCCAATCTTTTTCCCGACATAGACTGTGTCTACAGCAAAATAATACTTGAGTTTACCCACTGGGATAATCCTATCAATCTGTGAAACAGAGGAAATAGGTTAGCTTCAAAATCTGGGACGCTTGCATCACACTATATATGAATGACAAAAAGCTAATTTCATAAAATACTGGACTGTCATCATGAATACTTTCCTGGAAGCAGACATGTTGCTGAACACTCCTTGAAAGTGCCAATTACCTGCCTCCATTCTGATCCAATGCCTTCAATAATAAGAAGTTCCCAGATTTTAAGGTTTCTGACTTTATTAACTTTTTGTCTACAAAAAAAGGTCAGTGTCTCAGCCAGAGACAAATCAGACATATTGAGCATGTTCAAAAGGTCGGCCGCAATGGAAGCTTCCAGATTGCTCTCAGTACAATGCTGCTTTAAAGCAGAACACTAGCCAAATCATTTTTTTCTTATGTTATGAATGTGTTTTTATAGTGGTGTCCCCAGCTATTTCTCACTTCCTGTTTTAGTGGCAGTAGTCACTGACACAGAAGATCTCCGGCAATGTGGAATATACTTCAAATGGACGGTTTATAATCTCCATCAGGTTTTTAATATCATCTTAGATCCCACTTATCAAATTGCTCTCGCTTTCTGGCCATGTGATAATAGTAAATGTACACTGGCACCTAGCTGTTTAATTCTTTCAAGTCTAAGTATTTGCAGCACCGATAAAGTTCTAACAGCACAAAAAGGAGGGGTTACAGTTGTGTAGGAATATGCAAAATCATGTTGGAAAATCACTTTATTACACAGTACTCACATTCTTGTCCACCATCTCCTTGCCCTGGCTAGCAAGACTGCTTCCATAGGCCATTGCGAAGTTGGACATTGGCTCCGACAAGAAAGCCTGAGCTGGTATGCCGAGGGCTGGGGAACCATGGTTGGGGTACTCTGTCGCTTGAGGGCCAGCTCCTGAACTGGTATCATCAAAGAGTTGGTGAGGCGTGGCCATGTTTGGGTTAGAGCCTCGAAGGCGCCGCTTGGAGGCTGTAAAAGAAAAAAAGAAGATTCATTAATTTTATGTAGATGACTTCAAGACAAATACAAAGGCCAGTCTACCAAAAGTGTGCATTAGGCTGGAGAAGCGAACGATCTAATCGTCTTTTGTGAAAAGATTGAAAACCAAAACTCATAATTCCCTTTTAAAATAGAAAGAGAGATTGAGAACAAAGTCCTCAATCTTTTTTTCTGCAGCCCCTGTTACAAATTAACAGAAATCCTCTATACTAAGTGTTCCTGTTCATTCATAACATGAGGACATAGTGGGGGGAATTTATCAAAACTGGAGCACACAAACTCTGGAGCAGTTGTCTATGGCAACCAATCAGCTTCTCTTTTCAGTTTGTTCAGTTAAGATTTGAAAATGAAAGAGAGAAGCTGATTTGTTGCCATGCAGAGCTGCTCCAGATTTTGTTTGCTCCAGTTTTGATAAATTCCCCCAGTGCGTTTACTATATCCACAATCATAAATGAACAGGAGGTGATGTAGATCACTTCTCATTCATTATTGAGGATATAGTCACCATACTCCATCTCCAATTATTTACAAACACTCAGCGATCACTGACTGTTTGTACCCACTTTCCATCCTGACACGCTGTCACAGGAGGCTGGGTGGGCCGAAGGAGAGCTCAGCCTCCTGTGACAGCAGTCTCTGCCCACACCACGGCTCTCCATCTTTGATTGGCTGTCACAGGAAGCTGGGCGGTGCGGCAAGAGAGCTCAGCCTCCTGTGACAGCTCTGGCTGTCTGCACTCACATGCCGCTCTCCTGATCTGTGACAGGGGGCTGAGCATTGCAGAGAGGCGAGACACTGGGCGCTCACAGCGCTCTCCTCCCGCAGCGCTCGGATCCTGTGACAGTTTATCTCCTCCCCGCTGGGACACAGAGCAGCGCACAGCGAGGAGGAGAGAAAGAACGGATGCACTGCTATTTTGGCCCAAAAAAAAAAAAATTGCACTTCCGGCCGATATATCGGTGCATCGCTATCGAAAATAATTGTGGATTTGACCCCATTAACTATTAGAAAATTAAACAAACTTTTTGAGGAATTTTCTCAAACGAAAACTCTGATGTATGGCCAGCTTAGGAAGACAGGATGTAACTCATAGGGTCCGTCTACCAAAAGGGTAAAATTCCACTTATAACTACTATCCCCAGGGGTGGACAAAGTAATATGGAGTTCAGGAGCCAGTCTATCCAATCCAAGAGCCAACAGGATTTTTTTTTAAAAGGAGCCAGCTCCATTGACAACAACTTGAGAAAACCTCAAAAGTTAGGCTCCAGTTGTATTTTGTAAGGAGCATTGGCGATCTGGCTCCTGGGATTAGTCCAGCCCTGTAAACCGTAAACGCATCTTACACCATTAAAGGCTAATTTTGGGGTGCAAAACGTCAGATCACAAACCAGCAAACAGCTCCCCCGCCGATGCAAACAGTGGGACGAACAGCGAACCCACACCAGCCATTGCTCACGGTGGGACAAACAGCTCCCCCCCTATTGCTGGTGGTGGGAAGAATAGTGCTCCAATGGCTGGTTAATCGCAGGTCACATCTGGCAAGCATCAGAGTGACCATACACAGAGCAATCTGATGATCAAACCCTCAGATGAGCTCTGATCTGCCTGAAATGCACAGCCACGGCTAAGTGTACATTAAGCCGGCCATACACACAGATTGTACGATCTGCTTTAGATCTACCACCAATCACTTAGTGCCAGGGCCTGATCTGATAGAAACTGATCAGACCTCCTCACATAACATAACTTAGGTAAACTTAAAAAGGAGATTAAACAACCAGATTGTATAATGAATGGACAAGGTTTAGGAATCTGCCAGCAACACCAGTCCCAGGTACTTCACTAATACAATCATTCATACACAGGCAGATCATACAACACCACCGCAACAATCATCTCATTGCTATCAATCTCTAATCATATATGGTGGATGCAGCAGACAGGATGTACCAGCTGGATCATTGTACCACATCACAAGCTGCCCCCACCCCTCAGTACACCGCCCCCGATAGACGACCCCTTTCTCTGCCCTCCCAGGCACCGTGCACCACACTGACAGACAGGGCTTCCCATTACATCATACTGTCAGCCACACACCCAATACCTTCTTCCCTCCTCATAACACCACCCCGCCAGCCCAATCCGCTAGACACCACCAATACCCCGGCCACTACTCACGGGCCCTAAAGCTGCTCTCCCGGTTCATGACTCCGGTGTGATGACGAGGCTTCGCCTCCGCCTTACCACGTGACGCAAAACAGCGGCTAACCAATCAAAGAAGAGAGCTGACAGAATGTTCCTGACAATGTTTGTTCATAAAGCTCAGTAAAACGTTATAATAAAAAAAATAAGGAAGAGAGCCGTGATGTGGCATAGGCGTGTAGTGGGAGGGGTTATCTTGTGGACACGACTGAAGCAGGGGGAGGGGTTATGGGAAAGGTGCCCGGAAGTGGGACACGTGAACGGAAGTTGCCCGAGTTTAAAGGGACCCTGTCACCAGACCTTTAATTTCAAGAACATTATTTCCATAAGATTATCAGGATTATTCACAAAAGAGTTTGGAGAAGGCAGGAGAAGCGAACAATGTAGGACAACATAGCTGATTTGGTAAAATTCTCCAATTCAGATCACTTTCCAGTTCAGCTATGTAGCTTGTTCACTTCCCCAAACTGAAAAACCCTGTATATGTTCATTTAACATGTGTTATGTTATGTAAAAACTTTCACGGTGTAGATTTTCAAAGAGACTGAGGCTACCATCCTGGATGTAATTTTAGGAGCCCAAAACTGAGATTTATCACTGGATATGATACAGATTTCTTATTATTCCAGGTATTTATATAGTGCTGATAATATACATAACACTTTATATAGATCACATTCACATCAGTCCCCGCCCTCAATCATCTTACAATCTAAGGTCCTTACTGCACACACATATAGGGCCATTTTAGACAGGAGCCAATTAACCTTCCAGCATGTCTTTGGAGTGTGCAAATAAACCAGAGTACCCGGAGGAAACCAATGCAAGCACAGTGGAAAACATGCAAACTCCTTACAGTTAGTGTCATGACTGGGATTTTAATCAGAGACCCCCAGTGCTGCAAGGCAGAAGTGCTAACCACCATGCCACTGTGTGAAGTGCTCAGGAGCAGGTTTCAGTTCATCTGAGTGGTATTACACTCTAACAGACTGCCACAGCAGCAGAGGAAGGAGATTATGAATGAAGCTGAGTGTTTAGGTCCCTTTAGACCTGTGTAGTGTGCTGCATTACTACACACATTAATGTATGTTGCACTAAGACAGCACATTTATTTCGAATGGGCAACACTCCTAAAACCACACGTCTTTTTTTTCTCAATGCAATGCATCACATCGTGGGTTGGGGTGCCAATCAAAATGAACGGCACTGTTGATTGTGCTTTAATGTTATTTGCAGTGAAGTGCATTTGACTGCAATATAACTGTGTTAAGCCACCGTCATAGTAAAACTGTTTCATATTTTGTCTCATTGCTACTAAAGCTGGCCATACACTATTCTATTACTTTCATTCAACCCGTAGAACAGATTCCTCCATCAACACTTATGAGTGTAGATCAAAGAATCCCCTCTGTTTCCTTCGTATTCTGACAGCGGCTGACGTTCATTTAAAGATTTTACGATCAGCTGATCGAGGGATAACGGCCGAAAGGGTGCTGACAGCGGCACCCACTGTGTGAATTTCGGCCAGTTCCTGAAAAACAGGCTGGAATTTGAATAGTGCATGTACGGCTTTAGGATTATCTTGCTGTGAAGCAGAATTTATAAATGTCCTCCAGCATTTCCCAACAAACGGGGACACTCCTGTCTGCAATCCGGCCTTCCGATCTCACCAGTAGAGCTTGTGATGTCCTTCCAGGGGCTCAGGTGAATGTGATCACTGATTGAAGTCAATTGGTAAGTTCTCTGTGATTCTCTGAGATCTACAAAAGCTGCACTGCTCAGGTAAGGCCTGAGGATGGGTTCAACCTCTTGTTTAGACCATAAAATAATCAAAACCAGCAAATGTGCATTGATGAAGGACACAGTAGATAACAATAGCATGTTAATAATGTCCTGGAAACCTAGGATTCCATAGCATCAAGTCACAAAGCCAGCGGGGTTATGGTACATGTGTTTGCTATTTTATCTCTGTATTATTTTTTGAATCAAGACATTTGATTCATGAAAATAAATATTGTGTTATTATAAAACTATTATTCCTTACAGAATAACCAGTATGCACATTTAATCATTTTATCTCCACCTCTGACAGCTCCTATAATGTTTGTGAATTTGATTTTGCAAACCAAGATTCACAACAGTTAATACTATAACATGCATGTGTTACATTCAGCAGATCCATACCATTACATTTGTACTGAATGCACTAGAAAAAAAAAATTGTTTTTGTTAAAATTAGTGAATAGCACATGGGCATGAGAAGAGTTTAGGCATTGTGCTTTGTGAATTCACTGTTATGTGAAACATTCCACCCAGGGATGCTACTTCATTAGGCCACAGGATCTAATGGTATGACGATGCTTCAGCCCCCCAAACGTTGATGAAGAGGATAGAATTTCTTCCAGAGAATGAGGTAAGACATTAGCTGTAATATATTTGTATCTCTAGTGCAATCACCTTTGGCTGGCAACATATGCTGGGATTTTCCATTTCCTGAAAGTTCACCACACATGTTACGATCTGATTTTACAATTTCCTTTAGATCTACCAACAACAATGTAGTGCAAGGGTCTGCCTGACTGGATACAAATTGATTGGATATATTAGGTAGGTTTTCATATTTCATAGCTTTGGTAAATCTAAAATTGATTGCACAAGGATTTATGGTCAGGGTATAATGTGTATGATGTATGTATAAAGATTGTGATGCGTTATGTACAATATGTTCTTTTCATTTTTAAATGGACGGTTTGGTTCATTGTGCTATGATATTGTCACAAGGTGGCAGGCATGCTCACTGGTTTACAATTCCCATGAATATGTTCAGAGATGCTCACTGTTCTCTGATGGGCACAGATAAAGATGTAAATGATTTGGGTGCTTTTGGCATACAGAGTCTGACCAGCCCCTGTGGTTAAGAGGCCAGCTTTGGCTCCGGTGCTTCACAGTTGAAGTTTACATAGCTCCCAAATGTTCCTCTTTTGGAACCACATCCCTCGTTCTCTCCCTACTCCTTCAACTGGCCATACACTGCTAGATTTTCCAGCAAACTTTTATACAGAAAAGCTTGTCAGAACATTTGCTAATGCCAATGCGAAAAAAAGAAAATGCAGCCTTCTCCATTTTATACAACACACTGGTGTGAACGACACCATTGAAAACGGCTTTTTCTGTGTATATGCATTTTTAATGTCTTAAAAAAATCATCAGAATGCATTGGGTGGGAATAGGCCCCTAAGGTGCCCATACATCCTACAAATATCGTTTGGTTTCATGTAGGGCTGCGGAAATTAACGATTAATTCCTCGATTAATCGTTAAACTCTTTGATCGATTACAATTCTTTTGATCAAAAATGAAAACACTCGCCTCTCCGTTGGCTTCCGGGAGTCCCGTCGGAGATCCGTTGACGTCACCGGACTCCTCCCCCTTCCCTTCGTTAGCCGACAGAGCCACTTGGGCCGGTGAGTTTGCCCAAGAAACTTGTTCTGCACGAGTGCCAGCCAAGGCATTGGCCTATACACATACAGCACAGCAATGAAGTAATAAAATGAACTAGGATCACACTAATCCAGCACGTTATTATTCTGAGTTGCCCCACTCAAGCGGCGGCCATATTGAGTGGGGCACGTGAGATTAATAACGTGCTGGATTAGTGTGATCCTAGTTCATTTTATTACTTCATTGCTGTGCTGTATGTGTATAGGCCAATGTAGTTGGATCTGTATGTGCGTTATAATCGAAATTAATCGATTAAAAAATATTTCGATTAATCGAACACGAAAATTTTAATCAGTAACAGCCCTAGTTTCATCCAATAATCGGCCAGTTGATGGGAAATGCACGATCGCAATTACTGTACAACTGGCTGAATTTGGTTGAACTGGCAGACTAGAAAACTTTTGTAGAAACGGACAAAAATTGATGGATTAGTGGTGTTTTCCTACAACAAAAATCGCAAGATGAACACTGCACATGCGCAAACGAAAATCTGTTCTGCCGATCGACGAAATTCGGCCAGTTAGTATTGGTGACGAACGATAATCGAAAACTACATTGGTCTGTGCATGATGGGGTATTTGAACGAGAATCGGACGAGGGTGCGATGTCGGGACCAAAAAAAAAATGTGCAATGGTTGTCAGGTGTATGGCCACCCTAAGAGTTTCTTTCATTCAAGAAAAATGATCCATCCTGCTCAGTTGTTTTTTTTTTAAGTCACTACGGATGAAACTGATGGTTGATTTAACCACATTAACTATTATAGAATTTAATATATGTTCATCAAAGTTTTTTTAATGAAATTCTACTGATGAAGTAGTTTAGTTGTCCCTTTTTTTTTGGTGTGATGATCAGGAGCTTCGCTATCAATGCATTATTTAACTATGAAATGTTCTCTACTCCACTATACCGTTTATCCAACCTCTGAGGGCCCTGTCACACCATCAGGAGTACGTTCCAGTGCGTTCGGCCTCTGGAACGCAACCTGGCCAGCTCAGTTTTTTGGGGGGGCCGGAGGGGTTGAGGCGGTGCATTGAACCCTGCATTCCGGTCCAGTGCGATCAGCAAAAAAATCTGCAAAACACTTTTATGCAGATCGCACTGGACCGGAACGCAGGCACTAATGTGCCAGGTGTTTCGGGTGCCGACAATCGCACAGCGGACGGGGGGCATGGCTACAGTGCCATTGAGTTCAATGCACTGCCACACCCCCTCCAGCCCCCCAAAAAACTGAGCCGGCCAGGTTGCGTTCCGATGAGTTCCAGAGGTCGAACGCACTTGAAAGCACTCCTGATGGTGTGACAGGGCCCTAAGTCATTGCATTTGTTACTTTAAATGCAAGTATAAGGGCCCCTTCACACCCTATTCACTGGACAGTGTTGCCCAAGGCATAGACCAGGCATTTTGTTTTACATGCTGCATTGATGTGCCCTGAACAAAAGTAGGACAGGTAACCTTATAGACAGTAATGTATTGCACAAGCACCACATCATTTACTGTATGCTTAATCCAGAGTCTTGTATACTTTTTTAAACACCTTCATGGTTACTACAGGATTTATGAGGCATACGCTGACTAAAGCTGGCCATACTCTTGAGTTCTCTCGTTCAGCCATGATAAAAAGGGTGGATGGGGGAATTTCCCTTGCCAGCTCTTGTATTCTGAGAGTTGGTGCCTGCTGCTGTTAGGGTACCTGATTGGCTGCAGTCACTGTTCAGTTGACAATTTTCTGCCTGGCTTCAATTTTTCAATCAAAGCTTGTCGAGGCAGATAGTGCCAATTCTTGTGAATTGGCCAAAATTATTTAATAGCTTCATTCTGTGCTGGACAACTACGACCCTACAAACCATGATAGAGGACAGGGCTTGAGAACGTTCCCAAACTGGCTTGCAGGACACAATGATGTACTGGAGAGACTTTTAGCCGCTCTTTTCTTCATGAATAGTAGATAAAAGTACAAGCTGATTAGAATACTACAGCAATGATTCTGAAATGAAATGACATTCACACTGCTGCATTTCTGTAAAATGCGGTGCAACGTGCATTAAGCAACACATACACAACTAATTGCAGTGCGTTGCAGTGCCATTCATTTTTATTAGAACCTCAATGCATCTACCCAGCACTCCTCAACACACAGATGTGAACCATTTGTGCATTGTGATGTTTTAAAAAAAAAAAAAGGCGCAGGTATGATTATTATTATTATTATTATTATTATTCGTGTGTTGAGGTGTGGTGCCAGCCCATGCAGAAGGAATGGACTGCTTTAATGCAGTGTGATTCAGTTGATGAATTTGCGCATAATAAAGCAACGAATAGTGTGAATGGACCCTTGAACAATGATCTGCTTATTAATTAGGCTGGAATCTTTGCAATTAAAATAAAGTATTGCTTACATACTATAGTAAATGGCCGTACGTTTTCACAGAATCGTCTGTTCCAGAGCTTTTCCACTGTTTTTCCTGTTACGTAGCATCTGCTGTCTGTGAGGGTTTAACAAGGGTGTGGTGGCTTGTGCTGGCAAGACTTTGATGCTTACAGGATTCGGAGACGCATCCACCCAGTTTATAAATACAGTCATGTATACAGTATGCGCACTGCTACCAATGCAGGATTGTGTCCCTTTTATGTGCATACCATGTATGTCCACTCCCATGCAAGAATCAATAGATGTTTAAGAATCATATCTTAATGGGATCTTTATGACAAATTGAGCTTAAAATAGACAGTGTAAATAAATTTGAAGTGTGTGTACTTTATGCACACACACTGCTCAGCTGACAGTCTTCTGTTAACTGACTTCTGATTGGTTGCTGTGGGAATTTAGACATTGTCATTGCTATTGACACTACATATTGCATTGGCCTGAATACATAGTGTAAATCCCAATATGCTATAATATTAACAAATATCCCTTTTATAACTTTTAGGCAATAACCCTTCTAACTGTAGAAAAGGGGGCCCATTCACATTTGTACATTGTGGCAACATACCCTAAAATGTGCATGTTAATGTGTGGTGGCAGGACGCATGACAACGCATTTACTCTATGAATGGCACCCCAACACAGTACAGTAGAGCCCAATGCACAACACCATACAACAACACATATACCATGGATTGAGGTGTGCTATGTTGTTAAACATGCATGCCCCAATTCATGACTGGGCTGCCAAAACACAACGCATGTTACTTTGTGTAAAGTAGCACACTCTAATGGAATGGGCCCACTTACTTTTGCAAACATGCTTTTCTTGCCACTTTAATGACAGTTCTGTACTGTTTCCAATATTTTGAAACTAAGCTTTTGTTTTGTGACAAATTTTTGTCTAATCATAATATAAAAGGCTTAGTCCACCTTTGGTGACCATATTTTATGTTATACCCCTATGTAGGGTGTAACCTGAAACATGGTTACATTCCCCAGCCCTCCAACTTCAAGCCCCCCACACACATGGCACAGAGACTCGCAGATCTCAATGGAGCACAAGTAGGACAAACAGTTTTCGATCACTCAAGAGCCAGCAGTCACCTAATCCATGCACGTCAATGGCAACTGGGTGACTTACTGGAAACCTCTCTGAATAGATGTTTGCATACGAATAAACAAAGTTCTGTAGAATGGAAACCCGTCTGTCTAGATAACCATGTTATGCACAGACATACTGATTGAGAGCACTCAGCTATTTGACCTTTGTCTCAAATCTCATGAAAAGTCAGCGTGTGTATGCCTATTGTTTGGCTAAGTAGACAAAGGTAGGGCTCGCGTGGATGACCCTGAACTATTCAAATTACCTTGCTTTGAAATGGCCAGTGGGCAACATTACAAGTCCATCTTATTCCACCTCGATTAGTCAGGTGTAGTTGCCCCTTAAAGGAGAACTATGGGGTTAGGGCTTTTCCCCATAGTTCTCCTTAGGGTAACGGGAGGACAGAACTAGCGTCCTCCTGTCACTCTAAGCTCAGTAGCTCGCGGTATACTGAGACGCTGCAGCTGAAGCGGTTTCCGAAAATTATGTCTGGATCCGCCCAGCTGCGTGAGTGACAGCTGGCTCTGCCTATCTAGAGGCAGAGCCAGCTGTACCCGCCCCATTTCCAGTTTTGCAGTCAAATGTGAGTAACCCCCACTAACATTGGTGAACCTGGACCTGACCAACAGAAGCAAGCCCAGATCATAACACTGCTGGAAATCTAGGTCATGACTTTTTTTGGGCCAGGCAGTGTTAGTGCTATAAATGAAAAAAAAGAAAAATTATAAATTGGCATTTCTCAACCTTTTTTTAGTCATGGCACCCTTTAAAAGTATGCAAAATCTCACGGCTCCCCACTCTAAAATGTCATAGATTTTAAGGGAGACACCATGCAAAAATGTACCACAAAAGTGTGTTTCCCACTTCACATCGAAATTACCCTTCAAATCAAGATTTTTCCCCTTCAGAAGCCCCACTTTCATATTAAAGGTCCCCTTCACATCAGAGTTCCCCTTTTACATCAGTCTTCATTGCCCCCTTCACATCACAGCCCCACTACTACAAAATTTTGAGGCACCCCTGAGGAAGGTAGAAGGCAAACCAGTGTGCCACAGCAAAGGCGTCCCGAGGTGGGGTGACACCCAGTGCAGGTACCGGGTGACACCCCGCCGTGACATCATCGTGTATGCGCGTGACGACGTCGCACGCTGTACTGCGGTCACCAAGATGCCCACCGGCAGACCGCGTGCCCGACTTTTCAGAGGGGTTGACACCAAAATGACTCGGTTACTTTGGTTTCACCCCTCCAATGGTGTCACCTGGGTGCGGGCCGCACTCCCCTTGTGACACCACTGTGCCACGATACCCTGGTTGATAAAGGCTGATTATTTATACAATGGTCGGTACCGCACTTAAATTAAAAAAAAAACAAACTGCCCGGGTGCAGTTCTGTGGAAGAGGCAATCATGGGTCTCATAATGAAGCAACATAGAAATATTTATTGGTTACTAATATTGTAAAGCACTGCACAAATTGTTGGCGCTATATAAATCTTGTATTATAATAATAATATAACTATATATATATATATATGTTACAACAGCTGACAGTAGTGTCAATCTGTGATAAAAAATTACAAGTCCGTTCTTTGTGCTGTATTTTATACTGTGCATATACTGTATTTTTGGCCAGTACACTGGGTTGCAAGCTTGATTTTCGGTTCTCTACATCTGTGGGCTCTATTATAATTTCCCCATAGTGTACTCAGTTTGTGTGACGTCACCGTCCCTCCTCCTTCTCTCCTCTCTGAATAATTTGTGTCTCTCCTCCTACATGGCTGCCACCCTCTCCTCCCTCACTGCAGCCTCAGGAAGTTCTGACTTTTCCCCTCAGCTAGAAGTTTTTGTTCAGAGGTGGAGAGGGCAGCAGTGAAAGAAGAGCAGAGGCAAACCCAACTGGAGGGACAGGCTGGCTGAGTTAGGAACTGGCTGAGGGGCAGACAACAATAGGGTCCAGGACACCAGATATGAGACTTTAATGTAAATGCGGAGACAAAGGGAGATCAAACGTGAATGAGAGTCGTGTATATGAGGCATAAGAACAGTTAGCGAGGGAACAGATATCAGTCACATTTCAAGAAGAAGAAGCTGAGACTGAACAGGTAAGACTCATTCCTTTTAAATCACTTTAAATGCCATACTTTATATTTCAACTGCTAAAGCATCAAATGACATCTCTTCTTGCGAAGGGTAGACGTATTCCTCTCCTATTCTTCTCCCCTCCTTGGTGGGGGGGGTTGCCTACAGTGCCAAAAAGGGGGTTACTATCCACAAGGGTCAACCAATCAGAACTGAGCTTCCATCACTAGGAAAGGTTGATTTAATGGCTTACTATGAGTTTCCGCATGTATCTTATTCCATAAAAGTATTTATCAGGTTTAATCAGGCAGTGCAAAGGGAAGTTAACAAACGATAACCCACAGTGATTAATCTGGTTTCATCGTTTAGTCAGTTTTGACCCGTCAGAACAAATAAATATAATTGCTGTTTGGTTGGTATGGGTTTCTGTAGCGTCATGTAGCAATAGAGCCAGTGTAGACATCCCCCCCTCCTTCTCTATGAAGCACAAAGATTCCTGGAGCTTCGGTACCTTCCAGGATGTTTCACAAACCTGATTCAAGATGGGACATGATATGCATCAAGTGTATTCTATTGAATGAGCTCTTCCCCCTTTCACTGACCTCATACATACACTGCACTTCGTGTCATTTCAGACCACCAACTCTCCTTCCTGTATATGCAGTGTAGGTTATGTGTGAAGGAACTGTCATCTCTCTCTGCTCACAGATATTTTTTACATAAACATACAGTACTTTAAAGCCAGACCCCAGGCACAAAAACGTTCATTTAAATATATTCCTTACAAACCAAAAATGATAGTAATCCGCTTTGTGTGCACCAAATGCCCTAACAAAATCAGATATTCACTTGTGAAAGTATCGGTGAAATCATCACTGAGATGTACATATCCTGAGTAGAGCTGTAGGAGGGATCCAGCAGGCTCCACCTACTAACCACTTCCTGCAGAAAGCTACAGGAGGGGGTGGATAGAAGACCAGTCACCCTGCACAAGATGAGAGAGCTGCAGTGACTGGTCTGTATTACAGGAAGCTCCTGCAAAGAGTTTCCACACTGGATCACTGCACAGATCTGGAAGAAATACACAAAGCACACCAAGATTCAAGTAAGAATATAAATGACTCTTGTGTTTATTCAATGTTTACCTATCCTGGAGTTGAGCTTTAAACTTTTTGTTAATAATTGTGATGTGTTTTAGAGATAATAAGTGAACTTGTTGGTAAAAATATTTACCCTTCGGAAACCTATTGCCAAAATAAAATCTTCCCTGCTAGCAATCCATCTCTTTTCACTGAATATAGGCATGAGATTAGTCCAGATTATGACATGGCATTAAAGGGCTACCCTGATTTTTACTTAAAAGCATATCTAAACCCAAAAATAACCATGTATGTTATTGCAGCTCTCCAGTCCTTAGATCAGCCATTCTCAACCAGGGTGCCTTCTTGCTTTGTCATGGGTGCCTTCAAATATTTGCTAAAAGGGGACTCTGATTTGAAGGG